GTCACAACCTGAGAAGGATCGCATGAGTGAAATTCCATACGCTTCGGCTATTGGATCCATCATGTATGCCATGATATGTACGAGACCAGATGTCTCATATGCTTTGAGCATTACGAGTAGATACCAGTCTGACCCTGGAGTAGGTCACTGGACAGCAGTCAAGACCATCCTTAAGTACTTAAGAAAAACTAAGGATGTGTTTCTGGTGTATGGTGGGGTTGATGAGCTTTCAGTGAAAGGGTTCACTGATGCCAGCTTTCAGAGTGGCAAAGATGACTGCAAGTCACAGTCAGGGTTCGTATTCACCTTAAATGGTGGGGCAGTATCTTGGAAGAATTCCCCAAGAATAGGAAAAGACTTAGCAAATGAAAAGACACTAATTTAAAGTTGACAACTTGGAAAAGGAAAAGACTCTAATCAGCCCACTAAACATTAAAGAAGTTGGAAATGTGAATCAACCCCACTAAGCATTAATAACATTGAAAATGCTTTCAACCCACTAAACAATAATGACGTTGGAAATGTGAATCAACCCAACTAAGCATTAATAACATTGAAAATGCTTTCAGCCCCGCTAAGCATTAATTGACATTGGAAATCGCTACTCATTCCACTCAACCTCCCTTGCATTGATGACATTGACTAAATTCTGATTATGAATAAATTTAGGCTTGATGTCTTCATGATTATTAGCCCACATTTGCTGGATCAACCCACTAAGAGCTTATTTAAACTTCTTGGCCCTTGATCTTGTGATTGGCAATTGCAATGGATCACTGGGTGTTGTCTCCTTATTCATATCATTCCCTCCCTCTTCAAAAGGATTTGTCCTCAAATCTGCACCTACATCAAAAGGAGATAAATCAGAAACATTAAATGTTTCACTAACATTGTACTCACCTGGAAGGTCAAGCTTGTAGGCATTATCATTTATCCTCTCAATCACTTGAAATGGTCCATCACCCCTTGAAAGCAGTAGGGATCGTCTTTGGGCTGGAAATCTTTCTTTTCTCATATGTAACCAAACCCAATCTCCTGGTTCAAAAACTACTTTCTTAAAAACCTCAGTCAATGGTGCTGCTAGGCTACTAAAACTCTTCACAAATAGTCTATAAAAATTAGCTATCCCATGAAAACTTTGAACTTCACTCACACAAGTAGGACTAGGCCAATCTTGAATTGCCTTTACCTTTTCTTCATCCACCTCTATCCCTTTAGAACTAACAGCAAAACCAAGGAACACAAGCTTGTTAGTACAAAAAGAACATTTTTTTAGATTAGCAAACAACTTTTCTTTCCTCACAACATTCAAAACAAGTTTTAAATGCTCAACATGCTCATTCAAGTTTTTTTATATAAATCAGAATGTCATCAAAATATACAACCACAAATTTTTCAAGGAATGCACGCAAAACATGATTCATCAACCACATAAAGGTGCTGGATGCATTAGTTAAACCAAATGGCATATAACCAACCATTCATACAACCCATATTTTGTTTTGAATGCAATTTTCCACTCATCACCTTCTTTCATTCTGATTTGATGCTATCCACTCCTAAGATCAATTTTAGTAAAAACATATGCACTATGCAACTCATCTAGCATATCATCAATTCTAGGAATGGGATGTCTATACTTTACAGTGATATTGTTGATGGTGCGACAGTCAATGCACATCCTCCAAGAACCATCTTTCTTAGGCACAAGCAATACTGAAACAGCACATGGACTCATGCTCTCACGCACATGCCCCTTTTGCATAAGCTCATTAACTTGCCTTTAGAGTTCCTTTGTTTCTTCAAGGTTGGTTCTATATGCTGGCTATAACACCTCGTAAATCTAAATATGAAATTATATGCTATAATGTGGGTTAAAAGGGAAGGATTAGTGAAAATCCAGAAATTAAAGCCAAACTGAGTGAAAAGGACAAAATGGTATTTACCAAACACGTATCCCTAGGCATGAAAAGTTGAGTAGAAGGTCTCAAATGGTAAAAATAAGGCCGGAAATGGATTCAGAACGAAAAATTGAGTGGATAGACAAGTTTCTGAGATTTTGATGAATAGTGATTTTTTCGGTATAAAATACTGCGGTATAATTGTACCGATAAGCGTGAAATTTTGATCAGTATTTTTAGGAATCAAAAATATGACGCGAACGAGAAAAATATGTAGGTTATGAAATTGTGGTTTAAATTAGGTGATTAATTAAAGTTAAATAACGTGTGGGACCCACCTATAACTTAAGTGACTTATATGTCACCATTTCTACACCTTCTCTCTCCTAGTTTCTTCTTCTTCCCCGCGTGCTTCTCCTCCATAGCCGTGAGAGAGACAAAATTTCGCATTCTTGTAACTCCTCCATTTCTTGACCGAATCAAGTGATTCTTGACTTAAAATTTGTTGAAAACAACCCTCCTAATCCATTGGTAGTAGTATTAAGCCATGAAAACCACCACATATTGAGAAAAACCCCATATTCAGCGACGGTTTTGGAGGATTTTGGAGAATTTTTGGTGACTTTTGGGTTGATTCATTGCTTGGAGATCAATCCCTAGGATCATTGGAAGCTATTGGTGGTAAGGTTTCTCACCCTCACTTTGTTTTAAATGAGATCATATAATGGTTAGGGTTTTGATGATGTATGTTGAATGGGGGTAGTTAGGAACATTTAATGGTGTTGTTCCTTTGTAATTTATTGCTTGTGATGATGTATAGTGATGATTTATGCCATAAAATTTATAGTGATATTGGATTTTGTAACTTAGTGAAATTGGTGAAAATTGATTAAAATGTGGGATGTGAACATGAATTGCAATGGTTGAGAATGATTGATTGTGTGTTGGGATATGTAAATAATAGGATTATATGATGAGTATAAGTGTTGAATTGGATTGAGAACCTTGTTGGATGATTCCTTGTAATTTTTGAACCATGTTGAGGGAAGGAAGAATTGAAGTGAAAATATGGTTTTAATCAATGGTTAATACATGGTTAGATGATGTAAAAATGATATAGTTGATGTTATATGATTGTGATTGTTGTTTACATGAATGGTAGGTTGGTTAGATGTAGTGAAATTGAAAGGAGAAATGTTGGATGTGTTGTGTGTGTGAGATTTCAACCATATTGAAGGAAATAAGGAAAATGATGTGAAAATGTGGTATAACCAATGAGTGATGCCTTAGTGCGTAAATGGTGAATTAGTTTAATGACTAAAATGGTTGAAGTAATTGGATCAAATGTAGTTGGCCATTAGGCCTAAGTTGTTTTGTTGAGAATTGTATTGATGATCATACTGATTGATCGTTATAGGTTTCCTCTCTCGGACTCAATAGAGGAGAATTAAGCTTGGAGCTTACGTTGTGGAGCATTGGCTTCAGAGTTGAGGTAAACCTTTGGCACTTGGGTTTTATTCCTTCGTGTGTTCCACCACACCTAGTGGAAGGTTGTGGTTGGATTTGATGCCTTTGATTATGTATAAATGTATGTTCATGCATTATTGACATGATTGTGTGACATGTTTGGAACATGTTGTGTGATATAATTGTGATCTCTGGCCAGTAGATGTGTGTTGGTTTGGACTTCCGCTGGAGATATCCTTTGGGGATTCCGGTCGGGTTGTTACCGTGGGGCCGACTTTGGGAGTGGTACCAGGATGATCCAAACGTGGGACTTCCGCTAGATAGGGCTCATGAGGAGTTCCAGTTGGGTTTTGCCATGAGATCGTCTCAACCATGGGAGAGGCACCAGGAAGATTCCAGAGTTATATGATGGGGTCCTTTAAGGGAATCCTGATATGGATGTCCTTGGATTTGTGCTCAGTTGTTGTTGTGTGATATTTGTATGTTATGCATTTTATATGATGATCATTGTATGCACATTGAGTGAGCCATGGGGTGGAGTGATCCTCTAATACCCTTGGTTTACTGAGATATATTTGTATATCTCACCCCGCGTTTGGGGACAGCATTTCAGGTCTTGCTGCGCATGGTGGATCTCCGGGCAAGAGGCCCGCTTAGTGGAGGAGTAGAGCGTGAGGTGCATTTGGAGAGTATGACATATTGATGGATTCCATTTGATGTACATAGCATAGTAATTAATATTTTGGACTTAGGTTATGAACTTGTTGCATCTGGATATTGCCATGCTCTTGTATATTTATGACTATATGTTAAGTCCTTTAAAATTGATGTATAGTTATGCCTCTTGTTATTTTTGTATTTTGAGTGAGCATGAGACTTGTCCATGGCCACATAATAGTATTTTGAGGCATTGGAAGACTTGAGTTGTAAATAGACTATTGGTTGTGTAAAATGGCCATGATATTGCAAATGGTTGTAATGATGCATTGATTAATGAATATGCATGATGGAAGGGCTTAGAGCCTACATTAGTACCTGTGTAAGGTGTATATTAAGTATCAAGGTGCTAGGAGTATGTTACACCACTCATTTTGGGTCTTAAAAGCTGTCATCTGTCATTTTTGCTGCATAGTAATCGATTACTTTTCACTGGTAATCGATTACCTGCAACAGGGAACGAAAAATTGAGCTTCTGTCTTCAAAGTAATCGATTACCAGAGCATTGGTAATCGATTACCTAGTTCAGTAATCGATTACCAATCTCTAGTAATCGATTACCAGAAAACAGGGGAGCCCAATTTGAGGTTCTGACTTCTACAGTAACCTTTGGTAATCGATTACCTCAAGGTGGTAATCGATTACCACAGTGTAAATTTTGAAAATGTGTTTTTCTAAACTCTAAAATAAATGGTATTGCTTAGAGAGATCATATTTGGTATGTTTTATGCTTCCGCGAGCTTTGCATTTACAATTATAGCGTTGTTTTAATGGATTACGGAAATGGTTAATGTTTAAAGAAAGGAATGTAATAAAAGAAAAAGTTTACCCGTAATTTAAGTAACTCAATTACTGTGATTGTAACTGCGCTTAATACCATATGCAATGATAACATTACCGGTACGTAACGGGCTGTTACACTGGCCTATTTGAAATTGTTTCCCCTGGTATGAAATCAATTTGGTGCTCTATACCCCTTATTGTTGGTAAACCATCGGGTATTTCTTCATGGAACACATCCTCAAAACCCTGCAAAACAGAAACAATTGCACTAGACAAAGAAGAATCAATTTCATTAGTGTTAAAGTAGGCCTCCTTATACAAGAGTACAATCATAGGCTGTTTTAGAACCAGGGCTTTGTTAATCTCACCAACTTTCACAAAGAAGTTCTCCTTTTTTCTCTCTTTTCTTTTCTCACTATCTGAAACTTGTTTTTCACTCTCTTTTTCTCTCTAATTTTCTCCTTCTTCTTTTTGGCCACTCTCTTTTTTTAACCTTACTTGATCCTCATACACTTGTATTGGACTTAAAGGAGCAAGAGTAATGGTTTTGTTATTCATAACCAGTGAGTATCTATTAGTGTACCCATCGTGCATCACACGTCGATCAAACTGCCATGGACGCCCTAAGAGAATATGCCCAGCTTTTATTGGCACAACATCGCATAACACCTCATCCTTATACTTTCCAATTAAAAATGGAACTACCACTTGCTTGTTCACCATGATTTCTCCACAATCGTTCAACCATTGTAGTTTATATGGTCTAGGATGCTTCAGAGTTGCTAAATTTAACTTCTCCACCAAACTAGTACTAGCAACATTTGTACAACTTCCTCCATCAATAATCATGGAACACACCTTGTCCTTTACATGGCTTCTGGTATGAGAAATATTTTCTCGTTGCAACTCCTTATCTTCTTTAACTTGCACACTAAGAGCTCTTCTAGCCACTAAAAGCTCTCCTTCAACTGGTAATTCAATATCACTTGCATCTTCTAAAGAAGGAATGTATTCATTATCAGATTCACCTTCACTTTCAACATCACCATTATCTTTCAAAATCATGACTTTTGGACATTGAGAAGCAATATGACCCATTCCCAAACACTTAAAACATTTTATGTCTATGTTTCTAGAGGATTGAGATTCAGTTTTACCTTGGCTGGAAGTGTTTACAACTTGGTTGGTTTTAGAGGAACCAACTGGAGATTTAAAATGAGGCTTCTCTTCATTTTTATTCCATGTTGGTCTTGAATCAGAAGTTGAATTCTGCCCCATTCGCATGGTACCCTTCCCTTTGAGTTTCCTCTCCACCTTTATGGCCATGTGCACCATGACATCTAACTCCACATAATGTTGTAATTCTACAACATTTGCAATGTCCCGATTTAAGCCAAGCAAAAATCTAGCCATAGTAGCTTCACGATCTTCATCTACATTGGCTCGAATCATGGCTGTCTCCATCTCCTTGAAATAGTCTTCAACACTTTTAGAACCTTGTGTGAGACTTTGTAATTTCTGAAATAAGTCCCTATGGTAGTGACTTGGATTAAATCGCCTTCTCATGACGGCTTTCATTTCCTCCCATGTTTCAATGGGCCTTTCACCATGTCTCCTCCTATTTGACACAAATTGATCCCACCAAACAATAGCATAATCAGAAAATTCTATGGCAGCCAATTTTACCTTTTTCAGTTCCGAGTAGTTATGACAATCAAACACCAACTCCATCTTTCTTTCCCACTCCAAGTAAGCTTCTGGATCATTTCTGCCTTGGAAGGATGGAATCTTCATCTTGATACTTCCTAGGTTATTATCAACCCTTTCTTCATTACGCATTCTTCTTCCTTTATTTTGATGTTCTGAAGTTCTGGGTTGTTGCTCCCTTTGTTCAACTCTTTCTATTCTATCTTGCATTTCATCAAACCTGAAGTTCAATCTTTCAAATCTCTGTGCCATGGCTTCAAAGTAAAATTTGAAATCTTTAGAAATTTGAGCATCACCCTCTTGAGACATTTTTTTTTTAATTTGCAAAAGAAAAAAAGAAGTTGGAATACCCTCACAATCACACCCTCACGTGTTTATCTCCCAATCAATAGCTCTTACACTCGTGTTTCAAAATTAGGCTTTTATCCTCTTATAAGCTCACACACTCCTGCCGTTTCCCCCTCTTTTGAATTCCCTCTTTTAGTTCTTAGATGAACTCAATTGAAGTTTCCTTGAAGAAATTCAAACAGATCACAAGATGTAATACAAAGAGACAAGAAGAACAAGAGAATATTTTTTTGATGTCAAGAATTAGGGGTAAAGAAATGTTGGAATGACAATAAATTTTAAGCAAGAATTGAATTTAATTAAGAAGGGAAGTACACACTAGAATAGAAAAGAACAAAACTGAAAAGAATTAAAAGAGACAAGTTTTACTTCAAGAAATTTGGATCAGATTTTTTTTTCCTTCCTATTTTTTTTTTTTTTTTGCTTTTGAAGATACTAGATTTTTTTTTCTTTTTTTTCTTTTTTTTCTTTTGCTTCTGTAGATACTAAGACTTTTTCTTTTTTTTGGCTTCCGAAGATATTATTTTTGAACAGTACCACTGGGAATAGTTGACACAAGAAGGAGAACGAAATAGAAATAAAAAAAATTAACAATAAAATAAAAGGATAGATCAAACATGATTTAGAAGACTAGCTTTGATACCAAATGATATGAAGCTCACCAAGAATAGTGAGACCCAAGACCAATTTAGTTATGATCGTTTCTACAAAGGAATTTAAAACAAGAAATAAAGAACCTTGACCCGTTATCTATGGAAGATAAGAACCAAAGGTATAAGAAGGATAAAGACGCCACACTCAAGAAAGAAGAAGATGAGTGATAAGTCTGGTTTGAACGCCACAAGAACAAACTTCTTGATAAGTTCAGAGTTCTAGATAAGAACCAAAGAGAAGAAACCTCTCTATTATATTATAACTTCCAAAATCTGATTACAAGAGTTATATCCTCCCTTATTTATACTTGGAACATCCCTCCAAGAATAGGAAAAGACTTAGCAAATGAAAAGATACTAATTTAAAGTTGATAACTTGGAAAAGGAAAAGACTCTAATCAGCCCACTAAACATTAAAGACGTTGGAAATGTGAATCAGCCCCACTAAGCATTAATAACATTGAAAATGCTTTCAGCCCACTAAACATTAATGACGTTGGAAATGTGAATCAACCCCACTAAGCATTAATAACATTGAAAATGCTTTCAGCCCCGCTAAGCATTAATTGACATTGGAAATCGCTACTCATTCCACTCAACCTCCCTTGCATTGATGACATTGACTAAATTCTGATTATGAATAAATTTGGGCTTGATGTCTTTATGATTAGCCCACATTTGCTGGATCAACCCACTAAGAGCTTCTTTAAACTTCTTGGCCCTTGATCTTGTGATTGGCAATTGCAATGGATCACTGGGTGTTGTCTCCTTATTCATATCAGTGGTCTTCTTCAGTGAGGCCACAAGTGTTTCCTCCTCACTATCTCTGGTAGGGGAACGTCTGAGATTGGCAGGGATAGGTTGGGTGGTGTCAATGTAGGTGCTTTTAAGACTGTTCAGGATAGATGCAACCTTCGTGGTGTCATCTGGGTGTTCCTCTATATAACACCTCACAATTTTAAATAAATTAATTAAAATATTAAATGAGCAATCAAGTGATGAATTAGTGAAAATCCTAAAGATTAGGCCAAAATACAAAGAAAGGGCAAAACGGTAATTAGCCAACACGCAACCCTAGGAAGATAAAAATTGAGTAGAAGGTCTCAGATGGTAAAAATAACCCTGGAAATGGGTTCAGAACGAAAAATTGAGTGGATAGGCAAGTTTCAGAAAAATCAGTGAATAGTGTTTTTCGCGGGTAAAAATATCGCGTTACGATTGCACCGTAAAACGTGTCAGTTGAATTTTGAGCTCTAGGTTTCAAATATGAGTTAAAAATGGTCTAATGAGTTAGGAAATATGATTTCTTATAATATTCGATGAAATTAAGACAGTTTGGGGAAGCGTGCCAATGGCGCGCGTAATAGCTTAAAACAGTGTTTTCTCCGAACGAATGGAGGACTCTTAATTCATCTGATCAAGCCTAATTAAAGGGGAATAGTTAATGTTAAAAATTTGAGTTTCTAAATAGGTTGTGAATTTACGGACGTTTAGTGGAATCGGAGGAAAATTCGGATTAGTTTTAAATCGCGTGAGGTGGCGGTGGGACCCACCCCACTTAAGTGACTTAAGCCACATGTGCTTGGCACTATTCATGCATCACTTTCCTCCCTTCTTCTTCATGAAACCCGCAGCCCCCTCCCCCAAAAACCCCATTTGCATTCAAATTTTCTTTTCACCATAACTTGATCATTTCTTAACCAAATCAAGTGATTTTTGTGTTGAAATTTGTTGGAAACAACCTTCTAAACACATTGGTACCACTCTTGAGCCTTGAAACCGTGTATTTGGGGAGATATTGGCCATTTACAGCCACGAAATTTTGGAGAAAAAATGGTTGTCCATGGAGCTTTTTGATCTTCCATTGCTTGGAGGAGTCTTGGGTTAGCTTCTAGCCTTTGTTGTGAGTATGTTTCCATCCCATTTACATGGTTTAATTGTGATTGAAATTTTGGAAACCTAAAGCTTGATTTGATGATGTGTTGTGTTAGAGGGCTCAATTTGAAAATGTGTATTAGATGATAATGTGTTAGAATGATGTATTAAAGCTAGAAATGCGATGAAATTTATTGGTGAAAATTGATGAATTTAACTTAGAAAAATTGATGATCATGATTTTGGAATTTGTGAATTTTGGTGTTGAGACTTGTTTGATGAATGGTGGCATGATGGTATGATGATATAATAGGTTGTGTGAAGGTTGGAATGATTAAAGTTGTATGGAAATTCCTTGGAATGCCATAGGGTAAAATTCGATTCTTTTAAGAAAGATTGAAGAATTGATGTTGAAAAATGATTTGGATGATGATTTGAGTAGTTATATGGTGCTTAGATGGGTTGTGTTGTGCTTGGAGAGTGTTTGAATCAATGGAAAAGAATGAATTGTGTTAGAGACCTAAATGAGCCCAGAATGAAATATTTCGCAAAACGATGCGTAAATGTCGAAAAACGAAAAAACGACGATTGAACTAGCCTCAAAACAACCTAAGGGAGTGTTATAAAATGAGAAAGAAAATTTAGGAAAATAAATCTCAAATTTACACCTACATGGCCGAACCTCCAAGGGGAAAAGGGGTGATTTGGCGATTTTCGTTTTGATGTAATTCGATGCGAAAATGACGAACCGGCTCTTGAACTGGCCTATTGACAACCTAATGAGACGTAACAAAATGAGAAAGAAAATTTAGAAAAATAAATCTCACATTTACACTACAATGGCCGAACCATCAAGGGAGGATGGGGAGGATTTTTGTGTTTTGCGTTTTGATACTATTTGACGAGTACTGATGGATGTACGTTATTGTATAGGTTGCCGTACGTCGACCTGAATCCCGAATCTTGAATCAGTGAATTGCCCTTGGTCCGGGACCAAGTGGATTGAGGTAAGAAATTGGTTCATTGCATGTGTAATTATAAATTAACATGTATGGGTTGAACTGAGAGTGATTGGGAATGTCCTCTGTGTAGGCATTCCGCTGTGTACCGAGTTGAGGGATAAGCTGCGGCGAAGCTTGTGGAAACACGAATTAAGGTAACCTCTTGGTACTGGGGCTTGTTCCCCTTTTCTGTTCCACCTTGCCAGTTGATGGCAACGGTAGGAAGTGTGTATGAATAGTATAGAACACATGAGCATGCATGCATTATTGCTATGGGTACTGCAGTACCGAGTCTCTGGCCAGTAGACAGTTTTATTAGCCTTCGGGCATTTTCGGACTTCCGCTGGATAGGTCTCCAGGAGGGAGTTCCAGTTGACTGCGGTCATGGTGTGTGATCCGGGTAGGAGCACACTAGGAATGTCTTTGGCGTTTTGGTTGGTTTGGGCATCATGGTTGTGGTTTCTGTGAACACACCTTGGATGATACCCATAGGCTTATATATGCCGAGGGCGTACGTGGAATTGGGGTTACCATCCCGTATCGTCGTATTTTGTTTTCTTTATATTCCCCATTCTCTAAATCCCTTGCTATATCCCGTTTTCAAAGTGGTTGTTGTATTCTATTGATATGCATCGAAGTGAACCATTGGGTGGAGTTTTCTCCAGAACCTCTTGGTTACTGAGATATATTCGTATATCTCACCCCGTCTCGGGGCATTTATTTCAGGAGGTAGCAGTGGAGCAGGAGCCTCGGGCAAGAGGCCCGCAGAGTGAGCGCTGGAGCGCTTCATATTTTGCATTTTGTTGGCCGTGTGGCCTAGGCTAGACTTAGGGCATGAACATGTCATTTGTATTTATTAGTAGCTTCATTAGCATCTTGTTCATGCCATTTTGCCTAAGTCTAGTAGTGATGTATTTGGTTATGTTGTCTTTTAAATTAAGTTGAAATTTTAGAAGAATGTAATTTGAAGTTTTAGTTTCAAGTTGTAATTTGTAAAGCCATATTGTAATAGTATTGATGCATGTCTAATTATGATGGAAGGGCCTTAGGCCTATTTTAGGTTATGATAATATGTATGATGGAAATATGCATGAAAAAGGTGTTAGTGATTGCAACTACTTAAGAATGATTAATATGGACTCTATGTTTAATAACTATAAACTGGATTGGGTTGTAAGTGCCCCAAGGCGTTGTTGGTCCTTGTGTGTGCCACCCATTGGATTATTACTGTATTATCATGTGTTTATTAGGTACATTTGAGGTTTAAATGATCTTTTACAAATTTGGGATTATTGGAAAAACAAAGGAAACTCTGGCGAATTTTCTGTAGAATTGGCAGATTTTAGGCAAACTTCGGGAGAGCATATCTCCCTCCATAGAAGTCCCCTAGGGACGTGCCATACGCCATTTTGAAGGTTGAGATGTCCTCTAC